TTCAGAAATTCTCAGTAAAGACGCGATATAGCATCTGCAGTATGTGTCATACCTAGGTGACGTCACCGTACATTTTCAGGATGGCAACTGTACTTGCACCACGTCAGCAGCTTTAACCAGAGGGGTGAAGCTGATAGCCAGGCACCCAAATGTCTAAGTTAGGATGCTGCACAGGATGTGTTAAAATGGCTCAATCCTTCTTTCTCTCAAAGGCAGCAGTTATGGGAAAATTTAGGATTCAGTTTTGTCTTAGTGGCTTTTGAGCATGTGACCTGAACAGAACCAAGTGCATAGCTCTATGATGAGGTAAAAGGCTGAGAATCACAACTAAATTTATACCGCTAATTGTTTATTTCTTAAGTGGAAACCTAGCTGTCCCAGTTGGGTTTTGTCAACTTGACACAAGTTAGAGGGATCTGGGAAGAGAAGTCTGAGCTGTGAGAAGGCCACCATCAGATTGGCATGGAAACAATTTGTAGGTGCATTATCTTGATTGATGATTAATGTGGGAGGGCCCAGTCCACTGTGGTTGGTGCCTCCTTTGAGTAGGTGGACCCAGGTTGTATAACCAATAGGCTAAACACGCCATGGAGTGCAAGCCAGTAGTCAGCATTCCTCCATGACTTCTGCTTCAGTTTCCAACCCTAGTTCCTGCCCTGACTTCCCTTCACGGTGGGCTATAAAATGAAACATGAAATAAACCCTTTCTTCCTCCAAGCTGCTTTTGGTCATTGTGTTATTACAGCAACAGAAACCTGTTTAAGACACCAGCAAAAAAAGGAGTATTGAGCTTTGACTTTGATTTCAAAAAACAAGTGTTACAATTGGATTCTTCTCGCCTTTCTTAAATTCCAGAGGTCCTACCAAGGAAGTTTGTAAAGTTTACCAGCAAATTAGAACAAGCTAAAGCCCTGTGGTGGGGTCTGGGGTTACAAAGATTGACAATCCATAGTCCATGCCCTCCAGGACTTAGCAAGGAGTTCAGGCATAGGAAACCATAACCCAGGATGGAATGAAGTAAATGCTGAAAGCAGAGAGAAGAGAACAATAACCCTTGGCCACGACCTGCCCTTGGAGGCAGCTGATAAGACAGAACTCTATGTGCTTTCTGACAAATTGCTTTTAAGATCTAGTATTCAGCTTGAGAGGGTTAAGAATGGGCCTTGTTTGCCAACCAGGCTTGAGAGATGTATAATGAAACTCATTTGATGAGGCTTTCTGAAAGCAGAAGTGCTTTGGTGAGAGGCAACGTCCATTTGTCTAGTCATCATTGTGGTCTGCTTGCTTATACGGAAAGGCTTTGTTGTAAACACATTCTTTTTCTAGAGGGCTCCTCTGACAATAGAAAGGGCTTGCAGTTTTCTCTGCTGGCCAAAAGAGGGCACTTGGAGCTTTCTGATTGCTGTTTGGGGGCACCAGACAAGGCTAGATTGTCCTGGTCCTTTCCTACTTTCAGAGGAAAGGCACAATTAAACAGATCTTGGTCCTGGAGGGATGTGGAAATCTTCTTTGGTCTTTTTAAACTGAAGACTGGTGTTCACATTTGTATGTGTGGACCCAATATTAGCAAATTCTTATTTTTATTTTTTGCAGATTTGTTGAGAAGCAACATTTTAATGTTAAGAGGAACTGAGGTTTTGACGGACAAAGAACACAGCAGATAAAAGACTAATATTGATGTTCACTCTGAAATTGTCTCGTTGTGAACCCTTTTGCCAGAACTCTGCTCAAGTGTGGTTTGTTTGGACATTTAACTGAGAGGCCTCATCAACATCCCTCCCGTCTCTCAGTTGAGAATCTGTATTGTTTGAGGTCTGTGGATGGTGGCAGCTCCTGAAGTTCCCAAGATGGGACCATTAAGCTTTAAAGCAACTTCCTGAGGATTGGTCTGAGGGACCTGTATAAACATGGCTGGCTGACACCTTGCAAGCAAGGATTAGTCTTATGTTTTTTGTTTTGCCTTCAAGGGCAATCCTGCCTAGGGGCCAGGATGGACTAAGAGAGATCTTGAGGCAGGATCAAGGGGACTCTCTAAGAATTGCCACTAATCCTATAAAAACAAAACAACGAACTAGACAGCCTGGGTATAAAGTAGGATGTGGGAGTTTTAGCTTCCAACCAAAACGGACTGAGCTGCACCATTATCTTTGAACCCTACTTTCCTGTGTTTTAGCTGTCCCTCAGTTACATATATAAATAGAACTGGTCTTTCAGCCGTTACTGAGAGGATTCATTTTCAGAGAGGGGTTAGGGCGAGCTGTGTGTGAGCATTCATGCTATTTTGTCTTCTTCTTTGTCCCCCATGCCAAGCCCAGTCTCTGACACACAGCCATAGTCCATCAAATATTTGTTGAATGAAAGAAATAAAGAGTGAGCAATGCCTTTGGAAAAGAAGAGCACTTTAGTTGTTGATACTTTATTGACTCAGCGTTTCTAATAGTAATGATAACAATGCCTGATGCATATAGAATCCTTAAGAAAATTAATACATATTCTTCATAGTGTTGTCCTCAGATCTGTAGCTGAGGAAACGGGTTCAGAACTCAAAAATAGAGTTGTAAGTTTAGACAGAACAGAGAAACCCTATAATTTGATTCTCAGTGTGGACCGTTTTGAGAGTAAATGAGAGTGCCGTTTAGTAAGCCGGCTCAACAGCACAAATAAGACTCTACTGGCAAAGTCAGTGTACAGTTACCCTGTGAATAACTGACAAAGGGCATCTGGTTCTTCTGACTCTATGTTCTTTGTGCTACAGCATCTCATGCAATACAGATTCTGTTTCTTCCATTGTTAGAAACCCCCCAAGAAGACATTACAGTTCTCAGCACGCACATATCAAACTTGGGAGCATCCAATTCCACAAAGACGAATGTTAATAGAGAGTAAGCCACAGATTAACCCCAATACAGCAACTATGGGCGATTTTAATACTCCTCTTTCCCCAATGGGCTCATCATCCAAACAAATATCAAACCAAATCAAAACCAAAGAACAGCCCCCCCCCCCAACAAAACAAAGAAATATCAGAATGGAATGGTTTCATTAATGAAAAGGCCCTGACAAAGATCTATAAAATATTTCACTCTAAAATTACAGAATACACATTCTTTTCAGTCTCTCACAAAAGTGTCTCTAAAATAGACCACATACTAAGGCACAAAGAAAACTTCAACCAATTTAGGGAAACTGAAATTAATGCACGTATTCTTTTTGACCACAATAGAATGAAGCTTGGAATCAGAAAAAAAAAATGCTGTAATATAAACAAACTTAGTAAGATCAAACAAAAACATTATTGAATGAAGAATGGCTCCTTGAAGAAATCTAGGAGGGAATAAAAAGAATTCCTGGAATTAATTGAAAAAGAAGACACAACATACGCAAACCCCTGGGAAACAAAGAAAGCAGTCCCAAGAGGTAAATTTATACCTCCAAGTGCTTACACTAAATAATAAGAAAGACCACAAATAAACAACTTAATAGTGTCACCCCAGATTTTGGAAAAACAAGAACAAATCAAATCCCAAAGCAGCAAGTGGGAAGAAATAATGAAAAACAAGGGAGAACTTAATGTCATGGAAACAAACAAAAACTCATACAAAGAAAACAAAAGGTGGTTCTTCGAAAAGATAAATAGTTAACCAGAAGAAAGGGAGATGGCCCAAATTAACAAAATTAGAGATAACTAGGAGGCATCACAACAGATATCAAGGAAATTCAGAAAATCATACGATGTGCTTAGAAAATGTATATTCCTCTCAGTTGGGTTCCTAAGAGACTGTGAGATTATAAAGAGGTGGGATGTAAAAGTAGCCTTGAAGGCCTGTTAAGAAAAAATGGCTCTTGGTCAAGAGAATAGCATCTCTGTCCTGGGTGTAGTTCTATTATTCCAATGGGGCCAAGTCAATATTCTGACCAAGGAACCTCGCCCAGGAAGGTGGGCTCGTCTTAAACCATGATAATGAAATGGATGGAATAGTTAATTATTTGTAAGAGAGGGCTAACTCAGGATTGTTGTCAGTTTATATATGTAATGCAATCCCAATCAAAAGTTCCACATCGTTCTTTATAGAAATACAAGGAGCAATCTTAAAATTTTCTGAAAATTCAAAGACCTTGTATAATCAAAGGAATCCTGAGCAAAAAGAATAATTCTGAAAACATTACCACACCCAATCTGAAGCTATGCTGCAGAGTCATAGTAACAAAAACAGCATGGTACTCCACAAAAGAAGTCATATAGATCATTGGAACAAAATAGAAGAACCACATTTAAGTCCATGAAATTATAGCCACTTGATTTTGACAAAGATGCCAAAAACACATACTGAGGGAGATGACATTTTGAAAAAAAAATGCTAGTGGGAAAACCATATGTCTACACATAAAAGACTGGACAACAATCAACTCCAAATGAATTGAAGACTCCAAAGTAAAGTTAGAGACTCTGAAATGACTAGAAGAAATGGTATGGGGTATGCTTCAAGACAGAGTAGGCCTTCTTATGTGGAGTTTTGGGTCTCTCAAGGCTATCTATGACCATGGAAACCAAACATTTCTGTATAGCCAAGTGAACGGTGACCCGAGTGAAGAGGCAATCCCCAGAAAGGGAGTGAGTCTTTACCAGCTTTAACATTCAACAGAGGATTAACTTCTAGAATGTACATGGTACTAAAAACACAGTATAAAGACAAAAAAAGCAATTAAAATGGGCTAGTAAGCCAAATAGAGATTCCTTGAAAGAAGAAATACGAATGACTAGCAAACACTGAAAAAATTGTTTAATATCCATAGCCATCAGAGAAATGCGAATTTAAAGAAGTTAAAAGACAACAAACGTTCTTGTGGATGTGGACATAGAGCAACCCTGATTCACTATTGGTGGAAGTGTAAGCTGGTGCAGCTTCTATGGAAATCAGTGTGGAGGCTCCTAAAATGTTTTTTTTTTTTCTCAAAATAGAACTGACATATGAACCAGCTATGCCACCTGTCTCGACTACTTTTCCCATGCTGTGATAAAACACCACAACCAAGGCAACTTATGAAAGAAAGTGTTTAACTTGGGGGCTTACAGCACCAGCGGGGTGGGAGTCCATGGCATTCACGGTGGGGAGTGTGGCAGCAGGCAGGCATGGTGGCCGAGCAGGAGCTAAGAGCCTGTTCTTGATCTACAAGCACAAGGTAGAGAAAGTGGACTGGGAATGGGAGGGCGTTTGAAATCTTTGGTGGAGTTTTTGGGGTCGCTTATGTACACTATCATATCTTCTGCAAATAATGAAAGTTTAACTTCTTCCTTTCCAATTCGAATCCCCTTGATCCCCTTATGTTGTCTTATTGCTATTGCTAAAACTTCAAGCACTATATTGAAGAGGTATGGAGAGAGTGGACAGCCTTGTCGTGTTCCTGATTTTAGTGGGATGGCTTTGAGTTTCTCTCCGTTTAGTTTGATGTTAGCTGTCGGTTTGCTGTAAATAGCTTTTATTATATTTAGGTATGACCCTTGTATCCCTAATCTCTCCAAGACTTTTATCATAAAGGGATGTTGAATTTTGTCAAAAGCTTTTTCAGCATCTAATGAAATGATCATATGGTTTTTTTCTTTCAGTTTATTTATATGGTGGATTACATTAATAGATTTTCGTATGTTGAACCAGCCCTGCATCTCTGGGATGAAGCCTAATTGATCATAATGGATAATTTTTCTAATGTGTTCTTGGATACGGTTTGCCAGTATTTTGTTGAGGAGTTTTGCGTCGATGTTCATGAGTGAGATTGGCAGGCGTTTGAAATCTTACAGTCACCGCAGTGACAAACTTCTAATCCTTCTCATCAGTTCCTTCATTTGGGATCACGTATCAAATATATGAGCCTATTGGGCCATTCTCATTCGAACTACGGCACCAGTCCTGGGCATATACCCAAAGGACTCCGTATGCCACCACAAAGATCCTCATTTATCTATGTCCCCTACTGCTCTAGCCACAGGACCTAAGATGGAGTCATCCAAGATGGTTATCAACTAATGAATGGTAATGAAAATGTGGTCTATACACGCAATGGGATTTTATTCAGCTATAAAAAAATGAAATGCATAAATTTGGAATTGAATAGATAGAACTGGAGCAAATTATACAGAGTGAGGTAATCGAGGCTCAGAGACAAACGCCATATGTTCTTTCTCATGTAAGGGTCCTAGTTAAACTTTGAGAATTGTGCATTTAACTTAGAGTACCTATAGAATCCAGGAAACCAGAAAGGGTCCTTTGGGGTGGAGAATGCCTGAACGTAAAGAGGATAGTAGAATCTAGGTGATTTGAAAGTGGGGGGGGGGGCACTGAGGTAGAAAGGTTCAAGCGATGATGGAGGTGGGGGGTAGGTTGGAGGGTTGAGAGGACAATGGGGAGGGTTAACTAAACAAGGGGGGATTTAAAAAGCCACACAGGAATGGATTACTTTGAAAGTCAATTTAAAAAGTAAGTTAAAAGCCTGGGGTGATGGCTCAGTAGTTAAGAGTATGGATTGCTCTCACAGAGAATCTCAATTAAGTTCCCAGCACCCATGTCAGGTGGCTCACAACTGCCTGTAACTCCAGCTCCAGGGAATCTGAAGCCATCGTTTGGACTCCATGGGCAGCTATACTCACATACACACATACACTGCCCCCCCCCCACACCATTAAAAATAATGAATCTTACAAAAATGAAAAGATAAGTTAAAAAAGAATAAGAGCTAGAAGAACAGCCCTGTAGGGCTGGATGGTCCCGTCCCTCTAAGAAAGCACACATCATTAAACAAAAATCCCAACGCTAGGCATGGGCTTCTCTTTATGAGCTGTTGCTCAGAGAAGCTCCAAAGTCCTTCAGAACAACACTGCTTCTGCCATCCTTCTCGGTTACCCACTAGAAATAACGGATAAGCCTCCCCCCCCCTCCACGTGCTTTTGTTACAAGATACGGGGAAATCAAGCTTCTTCCAGCTGGCTGGCTGTCACAGTGCCAAGAGGTGCTCCGCAGGCTATTGGGAGAGAAAAGGCATCAGCCATGGGCCCTAGCACTCTTTTTTTTTTTTTTTTTTTTTGAGACAGGGTTTCTCTGTGGTTTTGGAGCCTGTCCTGGAACTAGCTCTTGTAGACCAGGCTGGTCTCGAACTCACAGAGATCCGCCTGCCCCTGCCTCCCGAGTGCTGGGATTAAAGGCGTGCGCCACCACCGCCCGGCAGGCCCTAGCACTCTTACCCAGCCGTGGACCCCAGCATTTTTACCCAGCCGTGAGCCCTACAGTATAGATCTGCACCCACTGGTATCCAATGGAAGGACTTTGACCATGGCAACCAATCCATTCTCTGATTGACTCTGAACCTTTTCTACAGGTTCATACGTGTTATAATAAATCTAGCCCAACACTCATGACAAGAGGCCATAGGCACTCCAGGGAAATGTTCTACAGACATTTAGCTAAAGAGTCATGGCACCAAACTGCCTTTTAAATATTTGTGCTTATATCCATAAACGAGTCTTCCGACACTTAGCCTCAACCTAAGAGAAGTTGCCCTTCGCAATGAACTGGGAGAATGCAGAGACTGGTGGTTGCCACAGATGCTGACACTAAGTGACAGCCGAGTGCTCAGCTCTAGAAAGGACACTTTGTTACCTCCTCTAAGGCTCAGGGACCACTGTGGAAGACAGGGCAGAAAGAATCTAAGAGTCAGAAACCAGAGAGGAGGGCTCCGGGAAGTGCTGTCTTCCGGGGAAAGCGTGGCCATTGCCATGATCTCACAGCAGCTGTAGATGCCTGCACAGCCACGCCTGCCATTATCATAGATCAGGGAGAAATCCAGAGGACCACACGCCACCCTGACTATCAATTTGCTGCTGGTGGATTCTGAGAGAGAGAGGTGGGCGGGGGGAGCCATTGTCTTCACTGATGGACCCACAGGTGAGCCTGTCAGGCTCCAGTAAAGAGTCTGAGACTCAGGGTTACTCAGATGGCCCTGGTTAAACTCAGGGGACCATAAGACAAAACAAAAGAACACGGATGCCGCGAGGCAGGTGGGGGCCGGGCTACCAGGGGCAGGAGAGAGCTATGAGAGGGGGCAGGTAGGCATAAGCAGACTCCATTATGTACAAGTATTAAATTGTCGAATGAGAAAATTAATAAAAGTCAAGTAAAAATAGATTGCGACTAAACACTGGAAGATTCCCATCTCACTAAGACTTCAGCGCTATTTGGCATGCCTTTTCTTCAATCAATATTTTCTTATCACACACTAGGTGGGAATCATCGTGTTGAAACACTAGCTCTGCTTTGAAGGAAATGACAATACAAAGCTACAGGAGCCTGGGCGGTAGCAATATAGAAATCTTCCCATTGAGTTTACCAGACAGTTTTGATTATGGCTTATGTTTTTACGTTACCAAAAATATTTACTTAAAATTCTCATTACATTTTTCTGAGGATAAAGAATGCCGTTTTAGTAATATCGTCATATTAAAGTGTTATATTTAATTTTTTCTTTAAATTTCTCAGTTTATGTACGACCCCATCCCCAAGCCTGGGGAAGGTGTGGTTAGCCTTTGGCCTAATGCCTGAATCTCACAGCCCTTTGGAAGCTTTAGTGTCTGGGTTTGAGAGCCCCTCTGTGGTCCCTGGATGGCTTTATTTGTAGAGTCACTGGTAGGCTAGAAACAGTATCATAGAATGTCGATCCAAAGCCACCTGATTGGGTGTCTATGAGGTTTAGTAGAGGTTGTCTACGTCGGTGTCCTTACACATTGGTTTAGGAAGCCACCACCAGCTACTCACTGCATGGTAGAGAAAGAAGGAATGGATTTAGAAAGTTTCCTTGGTCTTGACTCTTCTCCTAGGTAGCTTCAGTTGTCAATTTGATAGCCCAGATTATTGGAGTCTTAGTTGGGAGATTGCCTGTGGGCATGCCTATGGGGTGTTGTTCTTGATTGCCAGTTGATGAAGGAGGGCCCAGCCCACTGTGGGTGGTACCATCCCCAGGCAGGGGCTCCTAGCGTGTTTAAGAGAACTAGCCGGACAAAAGCTCGAAAATGAACTAGTAAGCAGTGCTCCCTCATGGCCTCTGCTTTCAGTTCCTGCCTTGGTTTCCATTTATTATGGATTGGAGGGTGAAACAAACCCCTTTCTCTGAAGTTGTTTTAGGTGATGATATTTATCACAGCAATGGAAAGCAAACTAGGAGAACCCTCAGTGTTCTCTGTCCTCTCCTAGATACCATCTGGCAAGGAAGAAAGCTTCCAGGGTCCAACCTCAGTGTCACAGAGCTGAACAGAGTCAGCACAGATGCTTATGTTGGGGCAATATCCCACATAAGTCAAGAATATCCTAAGTTGGAAATGCATTTAATTCAGTGAACCTTCCTGAACACACAGCTCAGCAACACCGAACTCTGTGGAGAAGTAAAAGCTTCCTATGATTCCTGTGATTGCTTGGTTGACTGGAAGCTGCAGTGTGCAGCCTCTGCCTCCAGAGAGAGGGTTAGTATCTCTTGCTTGCTAGGGAAGGGACCAAAGTTCAACCTTCAAAGTGTGGTTTCTGAAGAATGTGTATTACTCCTTGTATCATCGCAGAGCTGAAAAAAAAAATGCAGGTCAAAATGTTGTTAAGTCAGGACTCTCTATCTGTGCCTGGCGGAAGCAATAGTCAATAAATGGCATGGTAACTATAATTTATTATTTCCATAACAAAGGACAATGGGCAGTTATTGGTATCTGTTACCTACCCAGTACATGTCAACTAGCACTGTACCATTTGGGAAGAAATTAGATCTAGAAACCCCTCTGTAGAAGCTGAGCATTGTTGGGTGAATGGAATGTGGGTGTGGGGAAGAGGTATCAGTGAGGAACCCTCTGGGTGCTGGGGACAGTGGAGGTGCTGGAGGTGTGAGTCGGACAAGCTTACCGTGTGGTGTGTGGGCAGCACGGAGCTGAGAAGCAGCAGGGCAGTTGGAACGGGGAGTTTGCCTGAAGCAGATTTATACTGTTATCCCATCTTACACTTTTGGGAGGATTTCTTCCACGCACACTCATTTGTTTCCTCTTCTTCGGTTCCCACCTTCAGGATCTAGAGCTCACTAAGCTCGGACCGTGCTGCACAGCACACTGAGAGCCCACTGTCTTCGGCAGGCCCTCAATCAGTAGCTGTAAAAGTAAAAAAAAAAAAAAAAAAAAAATGTTTGGTTGAGTCTCAAAATCTGATGAAAGAGAATGTTGAGAATTTGTCTTTCTGTAATAAACAGTATGACTCATACCAAAAAGTAGTTTATTTGGAATATTTCCATGTGTGTGTGTGTCTCTCTCTCTCTCTCTCTATATATATATACATTTTTATACACATACATAAGGGTTTTCTACTAAACCTATGCTCTAGAACCACACAGTTTCAAGAACAAAGACAAGTTTTTTTTTCTCTCTTTCTACTTAGTCACTCAAATGCAGCCCCTGGAGAAAGAAGTCATATGAGAGCTACTGCCTGGATTCCTTACGTTTCCACGAATGACCGGGAAACAGGGACCCAGGAATGGCAAGAGCTTCCCTCAAGTCCCCAGTTACTTAGTGGTTGAAACTTGCTCTCTGGCTCTTGGGTCAACATCTTTTGGTGGTCTTCCATGACTCTTTGGATATTTATTAAGGCATCATATCCAAATATGACATACAAATGAAAGTGAGCCCCTGAGATGTGCCCGAGGATGCTTGCTTTCTCTAGGCTGAAGGCCGCTGGATTAAATTGCTCTGTTTCTGGGTAGTGATGCAGATTAGTCTTTCTTGGCTCTAATCTCTATTTTCAACCATTATTTTCTTGTACAAACTCCCAGATCTCATGCACTGCCTCCTCCTTTGTAGAAAATTTGCAGACTAAGAGACAAGAAACTGCACTCCTTTGGAAGACAAGGGCCGTTCTCCTGGCACCCACAGGCTCCCATCTTGGGTCACTTCTCTGGCCCCCATGCCAGTGCCTCCACTCTCTGCAGTATTTCTTGCATCTCCAGTCTCCAAGATCCATGGTCTAATTCTGATATCTGGTAAACCATGTTGGAAAAACATCCCCTCGAATTTCTGTGCATCATATATGCTCCAGAAATAAATGAAAAGTATTTGAAAAAAAAAAAAGCATGGGGAGAGGGTTAACAACCTTCTAAAGTTTACTTTAGGTTGATTTGTTGGCTGACCTCCTTGTACCTTTCTGACAACGCTGCTATTGAAAACAGGCCTATCTCTCCCAATTCAACATGTGCAGCCGCATTGAATTCATGGCTGGTTTTCCACTGTGGAGAACTCTGGAGATTTTCAGGCCTGTCTAGCATTTGACTTCCTTGTTAAAAACCAGCATCTTTAAGGCTAGTTGAACACGAGGAAAGACACTTAAAAATTCCAGTTCATACATTATTATAAAATATTTGACAAATTTAATCAAAATCAACTTGTAAATAGTCAAAAAAAATTTACCCGTTATTCACCTGTTCCAACTTTTGCTGATAGCGTCCACACGGAGAGAAGAAAGGCGCACATTTCTTCTGCATGAAGAGAAGTGTGTTTAGTTTTTTTTTTTTTGTCTCTGGTGTTGGTCATGGTTTCCTGTGGGCAGACACTCCCCCATTTTTAGAATTGGATGATCGTTATCTTGTTTTCTTTTCTCAATCCATGTTTCCAGGGGCTGGTGAGATGTCCTAGCAGGTGAAGGCTGCCACACTTGGCAATCTGAGTTGCATCCCCAAGACCCACCTGGGGGAAGGAGAGAACAGACTCCCACAAGAGTACGATGTCCTCTGATCTCCACACGTGTGCCCTGGCACATGCATGCCCACCCTCCCAAATAACTGCACATTTTTCTTTGCAAGCCTGTGTTTTCTGAAGCCCTATAACAAGCCGGTGAATATTTATAAGGTATCTAGCTTTCTTAACAAAGAAAAGTCCGATGAAAGACATAGTCATATTTAAAGGGACAGAATGGCTTTGCACACCAGCAGTTTGGTCTTTGAAGAAGCTGGTGGAATAGTTGCCTGGCAGGAAACGATACACGAAATGGTGTCTCCGAAATTTCGAAATGAGCCACCCCAACTCTTCCTTCTTGCCTGTTTCAAAACTATGTGACAAAATCAAGAGAATTGGAAATAAATGGTCTTCCCATACTCTCCCCGGCTAATCCAGACCAGCTGGGAAAAATCATCTGACGGACAACGCATCAAAAATCAAGGCTAAAAATCTGCCAGAGCTATTCATAGAAAAGCAGATGTGGGAACCAGCCCATGGTTTGTGTGTAGAGGGGTTACAGATAAAAATAGCGCCCCAAAGTTTTCAAAGGTGATTTGCAACCCCCCAAGTATAGATGACCGCAACTGGAAATAAGACGCCAAGGGTGAAGTTGAAATGGCCACCTCTCTAGGGTCCCACAGGCTGAGACTCTTGCTTGAGAAAGAAGAGCTCCTGTCCTTCCCTCAACAGGCTGCACACAGCACGGCACGCTTCTTTTCTGACAAGTTCTTAATATTCTTATCCTTCTTCTCTTCTGTCCGTTCAAGAAAAGACTGTATGTTTCGAAAGCATTCTATTTTCTTTTCCCTCCCCCCTTGAAAGCCAAGTCCGGAAGACAAGAGATAGGCTTGGCGTCAAAATGAAATAAAACATGTTCTGAGTGCCCCCCCCCATTTTTTTTTATTGTATCTTTACTTCTACACATCATTGGGTTGTGGCTTGCAGCTGCTGAAATAGAAAAGTATTCTGAACCTGTGCAACTCCATCCCAGATCCTATACCACGGGATTTACAATCGGTCTCTGTTTGAGAAGGGAAGAAAGCGTGTGGGTGGGTGGAAGTGATGTTGTTTAGCAGTGTCCACTTCTCAAGTTCTTTGCATTTTGTCTGGGGCCTGTTCTTGATTAAAATATCTTTGCATGTCTCTTAAGTTTTTCTAGTCTGGACGGGGGGGGGGGCGTCGGAGTCTGGTGACAGGGTGGGACACCATTAGTGAGGTTTCTTTTGGTGACAGACAGATGTAAATGTATCCATCTAATTCTCTGCTCTCGGGTCTCTGTCTGCAGATGGATGTTAATAATTAGCCGTTGCATCTCCTCCCTCTTTATCAAATTGGGTTCTCCATAAATTCATCATTTCTTTTTTATTTTCTCAAAATAGCGGCAGCTCTGACAGCCTCCCTTTGTTCTTGTGTTTATAAATAATTTATAACACAGAAATATCTCTTCTTAGTCTTAAAACACAAACTAATGGAATAACACAACACACTGGCCCCAACTACCTTCCACTCGGGGAGAAGAGTTGTGCAGCTCTGTCCTTTAACAAAGGAAGCATGATCACAAAGAAGAAAAACCATTTTCTACTTGTATGTAATTTTAAAATTTAGCACCGCTCTCTCTTCCCAGATTCTAGCGTAATATGGAAGTTTTAGAAGGCAGAAGCGAATTCCTTTATAATTTCTTTTCCAGATAATGTCCCTGCTCAAACTACCAGATATACAATGTCTTTCATTAGGCGACACAGAAAGGAGACTATTATTCAATTAAAACGGCCACAGATGTTAAAAAATGTATCATGGTACATTTATTCAGTAACTGTATGCTCATAACCCATGCACAATCTTTAAGTACCATATTATAAGGAATTGACCCAAATTAGCAATAAAATCCAATGTGTTTGCCCTCTACTGGGCAGTAACGATTGTGTGGGTTTCCTTGCATACCCAGTGGCCTTGTGGTCAGCTTCATAACTGTTTTATTTAGTCACTAATGCAGTGTTACAAGCAAATACGGATAGGATTTGTGCTAATTAAGGCAAATAGGGCCAAGTTGAATTAGCTTTCCCACGCTGAGGTCCTCTGCGGAAGTAGTTTTAAAATTCTTCTGCGGCTCTAGGCTTGCACATCGCATTCTAGGAGATGGCTCAGGAATCATCACTTGAGAGCTGGGAAACACATTCAGGTTGTAGATAGACAACCCTCGTAACAATGCTGATGCAGAATGTCCAGGATGTCGTAGAGGCTGGGACTCGGGACACCTCCTTAATCAGCTGGTAAGATTTTGCACTGAAGCAGAAAAAAAAAAAAAAGAGCTTTATTTTCCATGTGGCAATGGGACACAGCACAGTGACAAGTTACTTACAGAGTTACTGACAAACAAGAGTGGCAACAGTAACTACCCATCCATCCTAGGATTTGCTTCTGAAAAGTGGAACAGACATATAACCACACCAGGGGAATCAAGGGGGAGACCCCTTATAGTACAGAACGTCAGCGGAACTCATACCTTTACGGACTGATTTCTATAGTGCTTTTCCAAGCCCTAGGTGGCTACAGTGGAATCAAGGTGGGGGTCGGGGGGGGGGGTATGTGTGCACGTGCATGTGTTTCTACCAGCTAGGAAGTTGGAGGAGGAAGCCTCATCCACTGCCAGACAGGGGTCTCTGAAGAGTCTGAAAAAATAAACATGACTTTAGGTTTGCACTAAAGGAAGAGACCAGGTTAGACCTGAGAGGAATCTGAAAGAAATTCCAGATTGGGTCCCTTCTCATGGTACCAACGGTCTCACTCTTGGCAAATGATTTTTTTTTTCAGTTAAAAACGGGATGGGATTAGGACCCTGCCTTGAGCATTGGAATGCTTTTTTACAGAAACAACAGCTTCCAGCACAGAAACAGGATCCGACTGCATTGGTTGGAGTGATTCAAGCATGAAATATTAAGAGAAGGGTATTTTTTTTTTGCAGAAGTAGTGGAGGACAAAATAATTACTGGCTTGTACTACAGCTTAACAATTAACAAGAAATGAAATCCTTTCTTTGGCTTAAAACCATTTCTGCATTGAGCACTGTGGCTCTGCCCCCTCCTGTCGGCCCACCCACAGGATCTTTTCTGGCTCTGCCTGTGTCTTTGGGTGTTTGGGGGGCAGGGATGTAGAAGCAGACCTTGGACCAAGAGATGTGTTTCCCGAAGCACAGAGTGCTCTAATGTCTACTCTGATGCTGTTGCTCTGGAAATGGACATAAATGACTTGACAGCGTGTTTATGGGGACAGGCACAGAGAGACACGAGGGGACAGGAAACGCACATTGCCTTCTTTGAGAGGGAGATTTCATCAGGATATCACGGTGTTGAGTCCAAAAGACAAAAAAAAAAAAAAAAAAAAAAAAATTACTGCCGTCGTGAAGGCTGAAGGGATGCCAAAAAAAACCCAGTAGAATGTAACTAATGGATAATATTTGAGTTCATGATCATCTGGGGTCATGATAGCATCTTCAAGAACTGTAGTTTTCCTAGGGTCCATGGCAATGACATTCAAAAGGACTTTTTCCATGCAGGCCCTAACTATTTGGCCAACTCTGTCCTTAGGTAAATAACTGGAGATGCTCTGGGTTGCGGGGCAGTTTCATTTCCTAGGTGCATTAAAATGCTCTTATTAATTACCTCCTATGTGGCCTAACATTCTGCCTTTATTGCACACGTATTGCTGGGCTCTCCGCGATGACTGGAAGGCTGTATCATACGCAGAGGCGTGCGCCTAAAACAATAGCAGCTGCATGTTTGCTTGCAGGAGATGTCAGGGGGAGACGAGCGCTGTTGGCTAGAACTGACTTGAAGCTCGTCATGAGGAAGTAAGGGGAGAGAGAGAGAGGTGATCACAGCACAGCCTAACAGTGTTTGAGAGACACACAAGCCTACATGGTGGCTTCCGTCATGCATTTCCCATGGAAGAAGGGAGGGGGGGGAGAATGGGCGCTAAGTAAATGAAGGGTGAATACAGACTCAATTGTCGTGTGTGACAAGACACTTTCTCTCTTTGTTTAATATATAAATCAGGAGCACTTATGAATTGATATTAATTAAAATAATGTATTTGCTTTCTTTCAACAGTAATGTCAGCCTTGTTACAAAACGGAACACTAAATCTTCATTAGACTTTCAATATTAAAAATCTCGCATGAAATATGAATTAACATTTAACTTGTTGCTCATCAGATTAAAGGAGAGGAAAATGCAATAGATGCTTATCTTTAAGGACCACAGGTAAATGCGGTTTTTCTAAACCCGAGAGTTAGAGGATCTCCAGAGGCCGCACGAATCAGAGAGTCACCATCGTCGCCAAATAGGAATGACTGCATCCCAAATGACATTAGAGAATGCCGTTGCTTCCCCAGAACGAAGTGCACATCGAGAAGCTAAGGCGTGGTGAATCTATAAAAAAGTCCTATGGTAGAAATTTAGCTGATGAAGGTCCTTAGAATTCTGTCGTTGTATACGTAGGGACAAGAGCAGAGGCTTGGTGCTGTTCTGCATGCAATCTTTTCCACATTCAGAAAGATAAAGAAGCACTCAAAGTATCATGTCGGAAGTATCATGTTTTCTCGTTAGCTATGTTAAAATTTGGAAGCCAGTGACCTCTCCCGAGGGAACAGGTGGGGAAAAAAAAAGGCTTTCCTCATTCTCTTCAGATAGATGGACATCGGATGTCACCTCATCTTGTTTCCCTGCTGGTCTGAAATGAGAACAGACATAATTGGAATAGCCAGGCTGAGCCCTCAAATTGCATCCAAAGATACATTATGAAACGCCGAATGATCTTATTGGCAATGTGTTGTCTTAGGTGAAAGCTGCCCATAAATGGGCTTGCTTATAAAGTGCACTATCGATCTTATAATTAGGTCGCACCTGGATTTATGCATATGGAAAACGCGGCTGAATTTTAGCCGGCTCTCCGGGGAGGGTGGGGATGCACAGGAGTGGAGAAGCCACAAGGTGGTGGTATGGTGCCGTGCATCTGTGTTTCGTACCGGACAACAAGGACAGGGGGTTTGTTTAATGAGCTTGCTCTCACAAGCCTGCTCATCTAGTGAACTGTGACTTCTCAAATACCAACCTATTAATGTCAAAGGCAATACTGAAGGGAACAGTTCTGTTTGATTTTAAAAATACAGACAATGCGAAGTCCACTATGGCCCAGTATCTATCACCTATGGGGCTCCGCTCATGCCTAATGCTTTATTTAAGCTAAGAGCTAGTTTTTAGATATCAGATTAATACATATCTCCAGCTTTGCACCTTTCTCATTTGATTTTTTTTTTTATCATCGGGGCTCACAGGGGCCGTTTTCATCCCCTTACTATAGCATCGGCAAGCAGGTGGATTAGAGATAACTCTCATTGTGCTTTGTTTTTCTCCCGACACTGTCATTAATCATCCCTTAAGCCACACTTCAACTTCTAGTAATCAGCACTGGCTGTTCCTGAGCGGTGTGAGAATTGCCTCTTGCAGTGTAATATGGAATTGGAAGCGAATGGCGGAGGCCAGATGCCTCTTCTGCATTTGCTATCCGTCTCATCATTTAGGTATTTATCCACCTTGGGCTTGTGCGGAGAGCACCTCTCTCCTTCCCATGAGGGCACAGATTGCAACAGAGGATCAGATTTGTTACCCAGGCTTTGGGCTTTGATTGCCCTCTTATAAGTTCAGGATTAAAGTGAAATTTCCCACAGGGCTATGCAGGATTTGCTAGCCTTTAACTGTTTAACCTGGCTGTTTGTGAATGAGAAGCCGGTGGTCAGCTATCCCATAGAGGATATTATGGTAAGCCGAGCCTGAATGGTACACATTCCGGCGTGTTCTGTGAAGAGGGGCACACTTGATTCCAATTAGCTTCCTCACGGATGCTGCCTGTATTCGCGAACACACGGAGAGCACGGAGGTGTAAAGAGAGTCAAGGCACTCTTGCTCGTGAAATAGCCATGCTGGTTTCACATAAGCACAAATGAACTCCCTCAAAATGATGACTTCTATTTATGCCTTTTTTTTTTTTACAGTAATTGGAGAATTAATTATCCCTGCGTCAGGTTTTCTGTTTTGTATAGTT